TTGGTTGGTTGTTTGGTTGGTTGGTTGTTTGGTTGTTTCTCATCTTCTTCCCTTTTTTTCCTCCTCCTCTGTTAGCGGCGCCCCCTGTCAACTGAGCACTGTCGGTTTTGTTGCCAGAGCTTTTGAATTATTTAGGTCTGGTATTTGGAGGCTGAGAGAAGGAGCAGAGAAGAGTGCACGTGTACGTGCACGCTCTCACACACAGAGTTGACTGACTGTAACTGACTCTAACGTCGTCGCCTGTTTTTTCAAGTCTGAAAAAACAAACTTTTATTGATCTGTTTTTTTAAGTAGTTGTTACCAATGTTACCGAGTGTTTACCACATTAATAACAACACCATCAACACCAACAACACCACCAACAACAACACCAACAACAACACCATCAATAACAACACCATCAATAACAACAACACCGTCAATAACATCATCAACACTAACATCAACAACACCGTCAATAACAACAACAACACTAACAACAACACTAACAACATAACCATCAATAACAACACCATCAATAACAACAACAACACCAACAACAACACCATCAATAACAACAACAACATCAACAACACCGTCAATAACAACAACACCGTCACCAACAACAACACCATCAATAACACTAACAACAACACCAACACAAACTACATCATCAACATCATCAACACCGACAACAACACCGTCAATAACAACAACAACAACAACATCAACAACACCGTCACCAACACCGACCACATATATCCAGTCCATGTAGCTCTCGAGTGTCTTCTGGTGTGGATTTCACCCCCGCACTCCTGTAGTAATGTGTGACGGTTGCTAACCGTTAGCTCAGCTGTTAGCAGGTAGCTGTTGGACGGTGTGGAGCAGAGAGCAGCTCACCTGAACCAGGGTTAAGGGTCTACACACACACACACACACACACACACACACACACACAGACTGTATCAGCGTGGGTTCCTTACTGAATTGGTTCCCAGAACCTGCAGGTCCGGTTCTCTGGACTCCAGCAGCTTGGCCACCATGTGCAGGAAACTCTCCACGAAGGGTTTGATGCTCTGAGAATGACAGGCCATGAGGAGCTGGTCCAGAGCCTCCATGGCGATCACCACGTACCTGAAGAACCACACAACTGCTGCTAGGAAACCAACAACAGGCAACAGTAGAAGCAGCTAGCAGCTAACCAGCTAACAGCTAACAGCTAACAGCTAACCAGAACCACTTCAGTAATTAAGTAAGTACGAGCCACCAGTGTCCACTTAGCGAACGATGGTTCTGTTTAATTTAAAGAACCACTGACCCGTATCGGTGTCGAACCACATCCCTGCTCAGCCGCTCAGCCAGATAAGCTCCGATCCGGTCCAGTTTCTCTGGAGCCGACACAGCGTAGAAGGTCAACTTCTCCATGTCTGATTTACTCAAGCCGTCCTAGAATTAAAAGAAGAAACAAAAACATTCATTATTATTGAGCTCCAAACCTCATAGAGAAAATGAGTGATTTTAGCTGCAACTGATCGTCTTGACAGACTTTGGTCTGAGCTAAAATAAATGATGCCACTAGGGGGAGCATCAGATAGCACAGAGAGCAGCAGATGGAGCTTCACTTCAAGCTAACTGTGAGCTTGTTTTCAGAGCAGATGTCTTACTTTGGGGTCCTCAGGGAAGATATTGTCCACCAGTCGTTTGTACCGTGGCCTCAGTGGACCACAGCAGCCGCACACTCCTACAACACACACACGGAAAACACACTGTTACTCACACCGTTAGCCGTAGGGTTAGCTGTTAGGGGCTCAAGGTTACTGTGAAGACTGTTGACAGTCCAGTCGGCCATGTTTGTTTGAATTGCCTTACAGCTAAGAACGGTGTCGACACCCCACGACTGCAGCGCCCTGGTGGAGGTGATGCAGCAGCTCCCACCAATAAGGAGTTAAAGAACCCTGGACGAGGTCACATGGTCTGACGTACTACAGCCACACTGGACTGATTCTGGTGGAGGTCATGAGAGAAGACGATTTCCTTCGTCCTGCTGCGACGCCGCTCGGTGTTAACTTACTGATTTGATCTAAACAGTCGTCCAGTTTTCTGCTAACTTCGTTCTTGGCTAACCTTTAGCTTATTTTCTATGTATTGACCAAACTCTGGCAAAAGAGGAGAAAAACTGCGCCTGTGGTCTGACCTACCAGAATTGACCAGAACTCGGTGGTTTGAGCCTCGTCCGTAGTTGAGCGAATCGGTTTGAGGGACCTGTCGGTACCGCCGCAGGATCCCACGTCTCAGGTCCAAACACCACGACGACGGCATGACGCCGAACCTCAACCGTGAGCCTTAGTGTGAGACGATCGCTGCAGCTGCTGCTCTGGACTCTGCCTCAGGTGAGTGTTGGAAACCTCACCTTTCCTGCTGCAACAAACACTTCCTGTGACGGACAGGACCATCGGCCAATGGGACGCCTGACTGTCACTGCGCACTCATCGCCTCCTCTCTCTCTGACAGGCTCGGGTTACCAGGAGGAAAACATGATCCAGGACCAAAACCTGGAGCCGAGGAGAGTCTGCGGTTTCTCTGACTGAACGTGTTTGATGAGCTCAGAGGAAACGTGGCCTAAAAACAGCACCAAACTGGGTCAGGACTAAAACCTGCGTCACAGCAGCTTCTTCTGTCTGAACAAAGTGTACGGTTTTGATGAAGCTGTTCCACAAACAGACTTCACTGGAAACCCAGTTTGTGGACCCAGCGCTGCCTCATCACTGAGTTCTAAAGAGTGACCACCAGGGGCCGATGTGACCCTGGTGGTCAGAACCACGGAGTCTCTCCCTGGACTTTGGTCTGGGAAGCAGCCGGTCCTGAAAAGTGTGAGACCAAACATCTCTCAGTCAGACAGTTGGTCTGTGTCTCCATTACACAGACAAAACAGTGTCACATGAGGAGCTGCTGCTGCTGCTGCTGCCTCTGGTGGCCAGCATGCGTCAGTGAACAGTGACAGACATGATGTCATTGTGCTGCACTGAGAGCGTGAGGCAGAAACAACACCGTTTTAATCGGGCGAGGGCCCCGAGGCCCGGGACCCGCGGGCTGGGCCACGCCTTAATCTGGGAGATTATCATCAACACAGAGACCGTGAGATTAGAGAGGAGAATGCTGGAGGTAGGACTGTGTGTGTGTGTGTCCGGTATAGGAGGAGAAAAAGGAGATTAAAGAGGAGATGAGAGTGAAATTAAGTTTTTACTTTGTTAGAGTTTGAATTGATTAAAGAAAAACCACTAACAGTAGAAAGAGCTAGAAGTTGATGAGAACAGAAGGAACAGATACAGCTGGTATAAATGAGTTTAGAGGCTGAGGAACGAGCTAACGGTTAGCTTAAGAACGAGAATACACACACTGTTAGTAGACGGAAATGAACACATGTAAGAAGAGGATCTGAGCTGAAAAAAAAAAAGACGGGGATTATTTCCCAGCAGTCCTGTGCTGATGACCTTATATGTGTGTGTGTGTGTGTGAGTGAGACACAGAGAGACAGTGGGTTTGTCCTCCATAATGACTTAATTGAAGTGGTTAACAGTGTGAGTGTAATGAGAGCCTCCAGACCACAACACATCCAGGAGTGAGAGCTCTGAAGTGAAGCAAGTGCACGCACACTCCCACACAGACACACATGTAAGGCCAGATCACACTGGAGTCACTGATGTCAAACCTAACTCTTATGGAGGGACATGAGGTCATCCAAATGTCAAGAGGTCAAGCTACATCTGGAGCACTGGAGCCTAACCTTTGGTCAAGCACGTAGAAATAACCCATAAACACACAAAACAATAAAATAAATGAAAAAAGGTTGATTATAAATCAAGAATATAACGCTTCACCAACAGAACACAAGTTAAAATCTCTGATTTTCTCCATGGACTTTGGTCTGAACTAAAATCTCTGATTTTCTCTATGAGGTTTGGTCTGGGAGAGTGAGTGATTTAAAGTGGTATTATTTATTATTTTGTTATAGAACAACTGTTGCTACAATAACAGGTGTAAAGCGTTGTTGTCCAACAGTACCCAGTACTGGTTCCTGTGCTACATGAAGTCTGTTACTTTGTTGTCCACTTTCCTGTGCCCTTTGCCTGGACCAGTACTAGGACCAGTTCCTGTGGCAAACAGAATAGTTCCAGAGAGAACGCGCTGGTGACTAATCCTTCAACCTTGATGTTGATGACGAACATGGAATTAGCTAAAGGTGTGACATGAAACACAACTTCCACAAAACACACACAGACACACACACAGATTCACCTGCTGGCATCCTGCTGCCGTTCAGCTGTCCCGCTCGCAGTTAGTCGGTTAATCGCTCGGGTGACTGTTGCGTTAGTTGAACAATCAGTTTTCCTCCATTAAAAGCTGCTGGCGTTGTTTTAATGTCTCCTTCCTTGACGACTAACCTCGACGACACTCACGCTGGGTGAAGTGTCGGTTTGTCGGTTTAAAGCTCGGCTAAAGTGTTAGCCTGCGGAGCCGACAACAGTGAGACATTCCTGGGCAGCAGAGTGAACGCAGGGGGACATACCTGTGGATGAAGCAGATCAGCTGCTGCCGTAAACACACATACACACACACACACATACACAGGAGTCAGGGTTTACGGCACTCGTCGGTGCTTGACGGCCATTATCCCAACACGGAAGTGAATTGTTTTACATACTCTGTTCCGCCCAAACTCTTCTTTTTACACCCGTTTTTACTCATATTCACTTTTTAATGCTCTCGTATCCTGTCGTTTCTGAATTCCGTTTGTACAAATAAGATGAAAAACTAAGAAAAAAAGACTTTTAAACAAAACCGGAAGTGAGGAAGCGTCGTCAGCCTCCTGTGACCGAGTGAGAAAAGAGGAAACTTGTTTGTTTTCAAGAGTGGAATAAAAAAAGATAGTAATAAAAAATAAAACAAAAAATTCCAAGGTTTAAAAAAGACCAACTTTACAGCTTTTGGTAAAAGGATAGTTTTAGAAAATATAAAGAAAAATAAAAAAAAGTTGGAAACTTCCACAGATGAATTAGTCACGTTAACAAAACTGTTAAATAATCCCAGAGATTATGACATGTTTGAAACCAACCAGTTGTTGGTTGGTGATTTAACCAGAACGGAGTTAAAACAGTGGTGTGTGTGTGTTTCTACTTTGTACTTTTAAAGCTGTTTAAGAGCTTTTTGAAGCTGCTGACTGGAAATTAAATCTGATTAAAGGCTCTGGACAAAAACACAGTCACGTGACTGACAGCTGTCAACACCGTGAGTCAAACCAACAAGACTGTGTGTGTGTGTGTGTGTGTCACGGCCGAGTGAGTCACATCTACATCAGTTCGTCTCTGGTTCAATCACATTAAAACAAATGAAACAAAGAAACTCTGGTAATAATAAAACGATGTGAGTGACATGATTATACATATAATAAATAAATATATATATAGTAGTTTTTGTAATCCTTCATTTTAAATCTAATTTAGGGAAAATATTTTTAGTGTTTTTTTTCATATTTATGTCAGAAAGTCAAACGTTTTTAAAGAAAAAAACTTCGTATTGAATCTTCAGAACAAAGGGTTTGATTTTCTCACTACACACACACACACACACACACACACCACCAGGATATGACGTGTCTCGTTGAGTTAATGACTCTTTGATTTTATTTTGCAAGTTTTGCAAGTATCTTCCAAGTTGTTAGTGCCCCCTGCTGGTTGTCTGTCGTGTGCACAGCTGTACTGACTGATGACTCACTGACTCCTCTTCACCACAGACTCTTCTGCAGATACTTTTAGAACAGTACTGTAGTACACCTAGTACTATATGGCATTTACTGCAGTACTGTTTGACCGAGGCCTTAATGAAACCAGATGTTTGAGACCCACTAGTCTTTACAGCAGGAACGCTGTTGGTTCAATTCCTGGTCCAACTTTCTGTTCGTCCTCCAACAGCTCAAAAACATGAACTGACCAGAGGTGTCAACAGACTGGACGACTGTCCCTGGTCTACCCCGCCCTGACCTGCAGACAGCTGGGACTGACTTGTCCTGGTTGTCTTTGTTGTCCTAGTTGTCCTGGTCAGCCTGGTCCTCCTAGTTGCCCTGGTTGCCCTGGTCCTCCTGGTTGCCCTGGTCGTCCTGGTTGTCCTGGTCGCCCTGGTCCTCCTAGTTGCCCTGGTTGCCCTGGTCCTCCTGGTTGCCCTGGTCGTCCTGGTTGTCCTGGTCGCCCTGGTCCTCCTAGTTGCCCTGGTTGCCCTGGTCCTCCTAGTTGCCCTGGTTGCCCTGGTCCTCCTCCTTGCCCTGGTTGTCTTCAGTGCTCTGTGATTACCCTGACAGCTGGGACGTGTCTCTTGAGTCTCAGTCTTTCTGCTGTAATTATCCTGTCACCAAATTAACTGATAACTCAGTAACCTGCACGTTAACTACCGAACCTCCAGGTGAACAGATGACCAACCCAGTGACCGTCGTCCACATTTAGTAGGTTGGTGGTGTAGGGTGGTAGTGTAGGTTGGTGGTGTAGGGTGGTGGTGTAGGGTGGTGGTGTAGGGTGGTGGTGTAGGTTGGTGGTGTAGGGTGGTGGTGTAGGGTGGTGGTGTAGGGTGGTGGTGTAGGTTGGTGGTGTAGGGTGGTGGCTCCTGTATGAGGGGCTCCGTGTCTGACCTAAAGGTCTGACCTGGTTTAAGGTTGCTGGTGTAGACCTCTTCCTGTCGCCACCACAGCAATCAGGATAAAAGCTTCCAAATCCTTCCGTCCTGAGCAGAGCTGTGAGCTGTGAGCTGTGAGCTGTGAGCTCTCTCTCTGATTGAGTCGTAACCAAAGCTCATTGGTCGTTGCTAAATGACTCAGAAGGCGACACCGGTCCTAACGATTTCATTAACGATTGTCGTCATCAGACCGTCTCCACACCACCAGGGGGCAGAGTAGACTCTTCTTTCTTCATCAAGCTGCTGCAGGTGCTTTGTCGTGGCCCCTCTGCTGCGGAGCTCTGTGATTGGAGCAGAGCTCGACCGTCTGACAGTGACAGGCTTTGAACAACTTCCTGTCGATTATGGACGACCCACCACGATGGTACCGTAGCCAGAAAGAGTTCCAGTTCCAGCTCTTCCACTGGACTGTTCAGTGTTTAATCACAGGTCGGTCCACACCCAGATTTTCTTCTGTGATTGGAGCAGAGCTCGACCGTCTGACAGTGACAGGCTTTGAACAACTTCCTGTCGATTATGGACGACCCACCACGATGGTACCGTAGCCAGAAAGAGTTCCAGTTCCAGTTCTTCCACTGGACTGTTCAGTGTTTAATCACACGTCGGTCCACACCCAGATTTTCACTGATCTTCATCTAAGTTCAGATGCAGCTTCAATGAGGACCGGAAAAAAGAGCCGACTGTCCCTTTAACAGCTCCTCAGTTTGGGTGGATGAGTCTGGCTGCTCCAGTCTTGG